AGAGGGAGAAGAGATTGTGGAAGAGGCGATGTGATGATGGAATCAGAGGTGATGAAGGGGAGGAAGATGGAGGAAGAGGCCACCAGCTAAAGAACACAGGTGACCCCTGGAAGCTGAGGAAATCAGGGGAAACGGCTGCTCCCCTCAGAGTGTCCAGGGGAAACCAGCCTTACCAACACCTCGACTTTAGCCTAGTGAAACTGATCTGGACTTCTAACTTCCAGAACTGTCTGAGAACAAATTTATGTCATTTTAAGCCACTAAATTTGTGGTCATTCATTATAGGGGCAATAGGAAATGAATGTAGTCATCAATATTAATGTTAGTAGCATCTTGGTCCAGCTCATGGAAATTTCCATGGGAGCTGTTTTGAAAACCCTTGCCATACGTGGCTGACAGTTCTTGGGTTATTAAGAAAGACTCTGCCCTGAGGGCCATAGAGAGAGGACCTTTAGTGTCTAAAGGTCCGGGCCCAGGATTTATTCCTGCAGGCTTTAGTCTGTTTCCTTCCCTCAGCTGCCATGGATCGTCATCTGTGCCCTAAAGACTTACTTCACTTCCCCTAGCTGTTTTGATTTTTGTCCCATGGGGGCTTCGGGCCTTCCCCTGGGGGGCTGCTTCCTCCCTCCCCTAGGTCCGCCCCACTAGGGAAACTTCGGGACTTGCCCTGTCCCCAGTCTCTCTCTTGAGCACTAGTGAGATCCCAGAAGAGGCTGGGTGGGTGGGTATGAATTTGCCTTGTGCCTGGAGCTCCCAGGAGTTTTGTCTTCTCTGACTAGCCCACACTCAGCAATTTGTTAAGAATTTTAGCTGAATTCTTCTTATTAGCTTGTATGACATCTGTCATCTCCCATGTCCTGTCTCTCCTTGGAGGAGCCTGTGTTTCCTGAGATTTTGTGTAAGCTGGTGGCTCTGCAACCACAGCTCTACGGTAGATTCAAGGAAAGTTGCGATTTCATAGATTAGCAACTTTGGTGAGGTTTTAAGAATAAAAGCAGCCTAGTTGTCTACATCCTAAGAAGAAGCCAGACATCCATTTTATATTTTTTGGCTCATCTATGAATTTGAATTTTTTCCTTATAGCACCTTACTGAGAAAACATTTGGAAAGAAACACTGTTGTTTCCTCACATACCGGTAATATGCACGCCACACAAATCTATTAAAATATTCAGGTAGTTGTGCATTATCCTTAGAACTCTCTCTCCCAGAGAGTAAGCAATCATCTGCAAAATTAAAATGATCACAACGTTAGCAGAAAAGATCTAAGACTGAGATATACTGGTTAAGAAGCTGGGTTTGAAATGTGGACTTAATTATATATCTTCAGATAGACAGGTTCTTTTGGGCAGTGGCTTCTGACTCATCCTGAAATCATTGCCTATCATTTTCCTGAGACTTGTAAGGAAAAAAAATCTGATTGGATAGTATTCACCTCTGCCAAGCCAAGGCATGGACTTACTTGCTAAAGGCTTTCAGCCAGATAGTCTACTTAAGAAGCCTTCAAGTATTTTGAAGGGAAACTGGTGATTAAAAAGAAAAAAAAAAAAAAAAGCCTTTATTATAGGGAAACCCAGCTGCCTGGAATAAGTACAATGTTAACAATTATATATAAAATGTCTATATTATGAAGTAATGCAAAATAAATTCCTGAACATGGAGCTGATTCTAACATGATAATTGGCTATTCTGAGGCTTCCCCCCAGGGCGTGGCAAGGAAGCCCCAGTAGCTTTTAACTTCACAAGAAAATTGTGTCATTTCTCAAAAGGACCTAGTCAGTCATAAACATTTATTGAACATGCTCTAGATTAGCTGCTGTGGGAATCTAAAAGTTTGTAAAATAAATAATTATTCTGAATAATTGTCAGAAAGGTATCAAGTTCTTTCTGAACCCACTTTTTCTAAATATATAATCCCCAGTGATAATTCACCACCACGCCATAGTCCCAGCCCCTTTGTTTTTCACACTATTCTGTCCTTTGGGGTTGGAACAAAGCCAGCTACAGATTTCTCCCAAGAACCTTTAATCTCCCTGACACCTGGCTAGGAACCCTCCTGACCCCGCAACTCAGGTACCTGTGCTCTCAAGCATAGCCTTGACAACCCCAAACCACCTTTCAGCCAGGGACCTGGTTGAATGAAGATGTCCTTATTCCCCTCCACAAAAAATCTGAGATAGCTAATTTATGCCACAGTGTCATTTACTGATACATCTTTCTTCAGAGGATAGCTTCCTTGTAATTTTTGTTTTTAATTTTCTTTTTAATGAGAACAGAGAATGGCAGCATCTCAGGCAGGAATCTTCCCAATGTCCTTCATCGCACTCTGTGGGCTGGCTACCTAATCTGTATGACGGGCTAGTCTGTATGTAGACAGACCATTCTATCTTTCATATTCAAGACGAGGCTGCAGATCACTCTTGGTAGAGCATGTTTTCCAGTAAGTGTAATGAGGTTGGGCTGTGTTACCCATATACTCCCACCTATTCCTCTACATTACGCCTGTGTTGGCAGTGTAATCTTTAGAAACAGAACAGATTTTTCTCCTCTACTTTGTCCTGCTTGAATCTCCAGCTTGGAATCAGAGTGTTGCTTTACTGTTTGGGGCTTACTTAACTGGCTGTAATCCCTATCCAAGTTTCTGGGGCTCCAGGTTTCCTGGGGACTGTTCTGTAAAGTGAATAAAGCAGACCAATGATCCCGGCCTGTCTCCTCTAACCAGCCAAGCACCTAAGGGGCACTCCTTCAGGGGAGAGTCTCCTTGGACAGACCTGAGACATCTGTGCACATCACTGCATAAATATTCACTATGAGCCCTCTATGCTAGAGCGTTGTGTTTGGCTCAAGTGTTAACAGGGTGAAAAAGACATTCAGTAAATGAGTTCTCTGCAATCTGACCACAGTAAAGAACTTGCTATGAGACCTCCGGAGTTTAAATGAGGAGGCAAAACCACACCCCCCTACCTGCCGTGCATTTAGAAATACTACATGACAGAGATGAAAAGGGCCTCAGAGTTTAGCCAAGCCAGCTTGGCTAGGGGATAGGGATGGATGCAGGAAGAACTGAGTGCTTCATTTACCAACAAGAGAATCTCCACTTATATTCATTTTATTTTGTACTCTACTGTATAAGATTTGTTACAATGAAAGAGTTCTCTCCTAGGGATGTGTGCAAAGATATATACAAGACTATTTGCTGAAGCATTATTTGTAATAGGGAAACACTGGAAACAATCTAAATGTCCATCACTAGAATAATGTAGTCTAGTTATTTAATGGAATGCTGTAGAGCAGAGAAAATTAACAAACTAGAACTACATATATGTACACAGATAAATTTCAAATAGTGTTGAGATTTAAAATACAAATTAGGGCTTCCCTGGTGGCGCAGTGGTTGAGAGTCCGCCTGCCGATGCAGGGGACACGGGTTCGTGCCCCGGTCTGGGAAGATCCCACATGCCGCGGAGCGGCTGGGCCCGCGCGTCCGGAGCCCGTGCTCCGCAACGGGAGAGGCCACAACAGTGAGAGGCCCGCGTATCGCAAAAAATAAAAAATAAAAAATAAAATAAAATAAAATACAAATTAGATGCATAAATGTATCGATTATTTGAGGTTTAAATATAAAAAACAATATTGTGCATTGTTTTAGAATATACACATGTGTAGTTAAAGCATAAAAACGTAGATATGAGTGTTGCATATCAATTTCAGAGAGAGGTTTCCTCTCTCCTTCAGGGAAGGGGATTAGGTACATTGGGGATTTCAGTGGTATCTGTACTATTTAGGTTTTTAACATGGTGTTATATCAGTGTTTGCCTTTTTCCATATAAAATTTTGTGTCTGAAATATTTCACTATAACACTTTTGAAAAGAAACGGTTCTGTTTTTAAAAAGCTTGAAAGCCAATGAGCTACGACAAGGGGCTCAGGAATGCTGATATTTGGAGTTACAATGGTCTCCAAGCAGCCCTCTGTGGCCCCTTCCAGGAGTGACCTTCTAAAGCCCATCCTGCCTTTTGGAGCCTCGGATCTCCAGCCTTCGCAAGCCTATGGCAAAATGCATATTATACCCCTACCTCCATCTTTGATTCTCATTAAGTTGGTATGAGGTTTTTATTGAGCATACCAGTGATTCTAGTGGGCATGGTCAGGATACCTTTGAGAAAGATGCTAAAGGTAAGCAAATCAAATCCCGGGAGCCCATGGTCCTTCAAACCTTCACCACAGACTCATTGCTAATAATGATCTAAAGTAGGGGTTGCTGAACCAAGCAGCATCAGTGCTATGACTTTTGTATACTTGTTAGTGATTATTCCTGTTTCATGTTCAACATCATGAAAACCTTTTAAACCTGTGTGGTTTTGAAGATGGGAGTACAGGAACAGCAGATAATGTTAAGATATGATGGGGAAAGTTAAAAACAAGTACTGAAAGGAAAAGATTTTTATTTTCCAAATTTAGGAGGTATTGAATTTAGATAAATGGATTTACTTTGCTACAAATGATCAGGTATGGAACAAAGAGTGTACGGTGAATTATCTAAATACTCCTTGGCATTAATTGGGGAGAGATGCTGTTAAATCCTCTTGTACTCCATTATTAAGATAATACATGCTTTCAACATATCAAAAATATAGAAAATGTAAAGAAGATTATAAAAATTACCAGTAATATCATGACTGAAATATCAGTAACAGCTGCGTGTTACTTGTGAACCGGTTGATGTCAAGTTCACAGTTTGAAATTGGCAAAGGCGGAAGTATTTACACTGCAGAAACAGACAAATGCTATAAACCAACTCCCTCACTTCCACCCCAGATAAGTAGTTAAATTTTTACTAGCAAAGTATTGAGCCCATCTGACTTATATGTGTATTTCCTCCCAAGTTTAGATAATGCTATAATGCAGTTTTGAAAGTGCAGATGTATATCAGACTGAAAGTATATTCTAAGAAATATCTTGGGAAATTAACAGGAGCATCCCTTTCACATATTGAGTGCAGGGGGAGCAAGGACCTCAAGGCTTCCCAGGGCCAAAGGGCATGACAGGTCATGGTCTCCTTGGCAGGAAGGTAAGTATTTCAGGACCTAAGAGAAATGCTTAGGTTTAGGATCTCAGTAGCTTAACTTGAACTCTGGAAGAGCTCTCATGCACTTGATACTCTTCCCCTTACAAAGCTCAGAGGAAAAAAATCCATTTCAGAGTGAATCCTCATGCATTTCTTTTCCTAACTACAAACATGTTTACTTTATGAAATCTCACTTTCTTCAAACTCAAAAGCCAGCTGATAAGGAATAAGTCCTTACAAGGTACCAAGAAGAAGATACCAGATAACTCAGGTGTTAACCTGTATAACAGTTGAAGTTCCTCAAGGCAGTGAGCTAATCGGATGGCATCTTATGGTCTCCTCACCTTGAGGTCCCGAGTTCATCATGAATTAGATTATGGTACCTGGGGGGATGTAAATAAAATGCCCCCCCATTTTTTTCATATAGTATATTCATATCAACAAGAACCACAGGTCTTCAAGAGGCACCACAGTTGCAAAGAAAGAAAACTTTAGGGTTCTTCTTATTTGGCATTAATATTCACATTCTAAGCTTATCTTTTCATTGTATTATAAAGGGAGAGCATGGAGAATGGGGCGATGTGGGAAAGAAAGAGGATAAAGGGGAAATTGGAGATCCCGGACCCCAGGGAAAACAGGCAAGAAGTGATTTTTAACATCTTATGGTAACTGTACACAGTAACTGCTTCCAACCTACATTGACTGTTACTCTTTTTCCACTAGGTAGGGGTTACAAGGTCCAAGAGGAGACCGAGGACTGACAGTGAGTATCAATCCTGGAGGGTAATTGAGGGGTTTGTGCTCACAAAATGATTGCATTTGTGTTTTAGCTTTAGAAGTGACTTCTTTTGACACAGAATTAGTGCTGACATAGATGCAGGAGGTAACTGAACCTGAATGTGAGGGAGACATAACACCCAGCGCCCTTATCCAGCCTCGTGGTAGAGATATAACTGCCCACCCCCGGGTAGAAAGGTTAACAAGGAGGTGAACTGTTTAAAAGAAGCCAAATGAGCAAGGGACTTTTTATTGTACATGATCCTTCACATTTCAGCACGGGAGCTCTTTTTTTTTTCCTGAACTAGTTCCTTTAAGAAGTGCTCTGAGGGGCTTCCCTGGTGGCGCAGTGGTTGACAGTCCGCCTGCCGATGCAGGGGACACAGGTTCGTGCCCCAGTCCGGGAAGATCCCACCTGCCGCGGAGCAGCTGCGCCCGTGAGCCATGGCCGCTAGAGCCTGCGCATCCGGAGCCTGTGCTCCGCAACGGGAGAGGAAAAAAAAAAAAAAGAAGTGCTCTGAGGAGAACAGCAATCACAAAATTGGGATTACTTTTCTGTACTGATTCACCTATTCAACAAATATTTGTGATGATGTACAAACTTTCCCTGTTCTTCTCTCTTTTGTTCTCTCTTGTTTGCACCACTACAAACAAAAAGCTGACCCCTGAAAGTCCCACAGGATGGGAAAGTTCTAGAATTTCTATAGCAAAGTGTACTTTTTCCTTTCTAACTTTGAGACACTACGTCTCCTGGAGTTGAGGAGAAATAGGGACCTTCTCTCCCCGCTCCCTCTTTTTTAAATTGGAGTATAGTTGTTTTACAATGTTGGGTTAGTTTCTACTGTACAGCGAAGTGAATCAGCCAAATGTATACATATATCCCCTCTTTTTTGGATTTCCTTCCCATTTAGGTCACCACATAGCACTAAGTAGGCTTTTTCCCTTTTTGATTCTTTGGTGGGTCATGGTCTGGGGATGTTGACCTTACGTAAGTGCCAGGAAAACCCAGGGGTGGGAGTTCAAGTGGTGAAGGCGAGAGCTGGACATGTGACAAACAGAACTGTGCATGGTTTTATGGCCCATCTGCCTTTTTCTCTTTGTTGTTCCCCACCAGAAGTCAGACCCTCCCCAGATGCCTATGGAGGATGAAGCAGATATATGTGCAGCAACTTATCCTTAAAGTAGCAGAGGAGGATATATGTAAAATGCCCAGAGGAATGTTTCCCATAGGTTTGTACCCTCCCTCCTGTCCCAACATGAGAGGGGAACTGGTTTCCTTCATCCATGCAGTTGTTCATTCACTTCACCAACATTTATTGGGCACCTACCCTGGGTCAGGATCTAAGACAGGCACCGGGGGGATAGTTGAGAGTAACAGACTATGTCTCTGGACTCAAGGAGCTCACAGCGTAATGGGAGAGAAAGACAAGCCAAGGATGTTCACCTATAGTTTGATAAATGCTGTGATAGAAGTGATATGTGGGTCCAGAGCAGACAAAATCAGGTATGGTTTGATGCAAATTCTCTTTTCCTTCACTCTTCCCTGTTTGTAGCATTTAGAAAGCCAAGATCAGCATTAAATGAGATTCTAATATGTGACAGGTTCCTTCATATCAATACCACCCTGACCCAGTACTGCAGGGTGCCTGGGGGGCCCATGTGTACAGCCCTCACTCTGGACCCCTGGACTTCTAGTCCTTCTCCTGTTACACCCCTTCCCCCAGGTGAGGAGCGACCAACATGAGCGTACGCCCCACTCTGTACTGCACTCTGGATACACAGGGTCTCAGAATTGCCCCAAATGGCCCCAAGTTTGGAAGCTGACAGCACTGACCTGTATGCACGAGGTGGCCAAGGGGCAGGCATCTGGGAGGATTTGACAGAGCTTGGATTCACCTCATAAGTGCTGGCTAAGGCCCGGTGCAGCCCAGGGCCGGTGGGGAGAGGGTGCAGGGAGAAGGGGACAGGCTATAAGCCGCGGCCCCCTCTCGCCCAAAACCCACATGAATCCACATGACATCCCATGAGGTAGGTAATAGTGTCTTCCCTCCAGTAAAGGCACGCCAAGTCATGCAGAAAGCTTGAACGGTACGCCCCAAGACATCTCAATAACAAGTACCACCAGAGCCCTTAGAGCCAAAGCTGGCTTGTCTGAAGCCAAATCCTGGCTGCTCCCCCATGAAGGCTGTTCTTGGAAGACACCTTTCCTCTCCCCAGCCCCATTCTCTCCCTGATCAAATATATTTCCAAACACTCTCAGTGGCAGATTCAGTCCAGACTAACAAAGCCCTCTTTTAAGAGGCAAATACCATTGATGGAGTTCAGGTTTTTAATCATTCACAACAAATTGCTTCAGAAAGACTGTTTCTCCGTGTGTCCCTTAAATGTCAGTGTTTCCCAGTGTCTGCCCTCGGTCTTTTCTTCCCAGTCTTCAAACCCTCAGGGAGGGACAGCTATCAAAGTCAGGGGGATGGGGCTTCTCTGGTGGCGCAGTGGTTGAGAGTCCGCCTGCCGATGCAGGGGACGCGGATTCGTGCCCCGGTCTGGGAGGATCCCACATGCCATGGAGCCGTTGAGCCTGCGCGTCCGGAGCCTGTGCTCCGCAACAGGAGAGGCCACAACAGTGAGAGGCCCACGTACTACACACACACACACACAAAAAGTCGGGGGGATGTACAGTTTGAAAAGGCTAATTTAATATTACAGTAAAGTTCTAGGAGAATGAAAAAATCTTTTTATGTTATAAATATAGAAAAGAATATGCTTGACAAAAGGGGGTAGGGAGGGGTTAAAAAAGGCAGAGAAGCTCTGTTCCACGCACTCTCGTCTGCCATCCCTGTTTCAACAGCCAACTGTATGCTGGCATTTCTTAAATCTGCCTCCAGCTTGAACCCCTCTCCTGAGCACCAGACCTCACATCCTACTGCCTACTGGACATCGCCAGCTGGGTGTCAAACCCAGCCAGAATCAAGCTGAACCAGTGACCTTCATTAGCTTCAACCTGCCCCTGTTCCATCCCTCCCTATCTCAGAGAGCAGCGCCGTTATCATTTGCCTCCTAGACTCCTTTCCCTCATCCTCCCTTCCAATTACTCACCAACCCTCTTCATCTCCTTTTGAAATGTCCCTCCAGGTCATTCCTTCCCATCCATCAACACCACCACGGCTTCCTAGTGTTATCTTCTTTGCCTGAACTATATAGGAACCTCAGACCCCTCCACTGGCTGCCACAATCACCTTGCTTCTCTGCTACGGACCATGTCTCTTCTCAGTGCTCAGGATAAGTCCACACTCTTCAGCATGACACAAAGGCTTTCTAAAGTCCATCTGTCTTTCACATTTCCTGTCATTCTTTCAGTCACGTTCCCTGAGTCACAAGTTTAATCAAGTACTCCAGTGCACTGCACTTTGTGTGTTCCATCCTCTGCCTGGAAAGCTTTTTCTCCTCCTCTCCCCACCCCACCCCGGTCAGAGTCTGCCTAACGTCCCTGGACCACAGGCCCACACCCACTCTCCCATCCCTGGTATTGCCGGCAGACCAGTGTGGTTCCTTAGCTCCAAGCCAACAGAACAGTACTTATAAAAGTATTTATTTATTTGCCTACTTCTTACTAGACTCATGAAAACATGAGTCCTTTGAGGGGTATAAACTTGATGCCTTCATCATTGGCACTGAGTAGCCAACGTGGTCATTCAGCAATTTTAATGGAAAGGGTGAAACTATTCCAGTGACTTAAAAGCAAAGAATACAAGGAAAAGATTTATACACACACACACACACACACAACACACACACACAACACACACACACATATATATGACTACTTAAAGCATATTAGACCTGGTTATGCCATAAAAGCACAGTGAAAAGAATTAAAATGCAACCTTGATATATAAATTGCTCTTACAAGTCAAGAAAAGACAAACATTCTAATAGAAAGAAATGGACAAAAGACAAAGACTGTGCATAACAGAATACAACTTGGAAACATACATATAAAATTCAGCCTCACAATAGTAAGTGTAATTCAAAACAATGAGATATTTTGCTCTATCAAGTGGCAAAGATTATATAATAATAATAATAACCAGTGTTGTGTCTCTAAAACAAAATGGGTTTTCTTATATACTGTTGTTAGAGGCGTCAGTTACTACAACTTTTCTGGAGGATTGTAAAGCAGTCTGCAACAAGAACCTTAAAATGGACATGCATCTGACATCAGTAATCAAGTTTTTCAAAATACTTAATAATATGGGCAATTAATTACTACATAATGTTAAGTGAAAAACTATAATCATAAAACTTAGTGAAAAGTATTTTCTCCACTTGTAAAAAATTAAACAGAAGTATATTAAATACATAACATTTCCCCTTCCTAGATAACAATATAAATATATTAATAGACATTTCCCCTTTCCAGACATACTCTAGTTTCAGATTTATTAAATGTCTCTCTAAATGGGGAAAAGCATGACAAAGCCTAAAAAAAAAAAAGATAACTGATGACTCCTTCATTTCATATAATTTTAAAAATCTCACATTGGGAGCTCTTTTTGTATAGCCACTTGAAATCATTGGCTTTTACTCAATTTACAGGAAAAGAAATTAAATTAAAATGCCTTGAATATTCTCTGTACATGCTTCTGTTAAGCCATGTTACTGTCTATGTCACCTTCACCTCACTTCTGTCATTATAGGTTTTCTCCTTTAAAACTTTACTTTTGCAACTGTTACATTGTATCTTCTGAGAACAGGTCCAATGCCCTTTCCAGTTGAGATTTTCTGGGCTTCTGCTTCTCTCATCTGTTAAGTTAATCATCCCTGTCAGCTTCATGTCTTTGGCAGATGTAGGATCCTGACTTCTCCAGTCTCATCCCACGGCATTTGTAAACATGCCATGCAAGGCAGGATGTTGGTACATTGATTCCTAGTACCCAGCTCATCTCAGGCCCTTCTGATGGAGCTGGTGAGCAGTGGGACCTGGAAGGAGCATCCAGGAACCCAGGGAGGTTTCATGCAAGAGCCCAAGTGAGGGTGTTAGGAAACTGGAGAGAAGACTTGCAAATTTGGGGATTGGTACAGAAAAAAAGGAGGGAATACAGCATTGGATGAGATCCCTTTTGGCCCTGGTGCTTGTCCTGGTTTGTCAGCACATGTGGGTTAAACCGTGTAACTGAAAGCATGCATTGCCCACACCATTATTGTTCTCGGAATCTGCAGGGGATTGGTTCCCAGACACGCCCACCACGCACAACCCAGTAGGTACCAAAATCCATGGTTGCTCAAGTCCCGCATATAAAATGGTGCAGTACAGTCAGCCCTCCGTATCATGGATACAGAACCCATGGCTATGGAGGGCCGACTGTAGGTAGTACATCTTTTGTGGGGCCAGACCCTGTGTGTGTGTTACCTCATTTAATCCCACCACATCCCTGAGACACAGACACTGTTAGGTCACTTCATGCCCAAGGTCACACAGCTGATAAATACTGGAGCTGCAATTTGAACTTCAAGTCTGAGTTACTACATTTCACAGCTCAAACACATTTCAATTCTGATATATTATAGGCAACTTTTAACCTCTGTGCTATGTATTTTTTATTAATTTATTTATTCAATTTATTTATTTTTGGCTGTGTTAGGTCTTTGTTGCTGCACGCGGGCTTTCTCTAGTTGCGGCGAGCGGGGGCTACTCTTCATTGTGGTGCGCGGGTTTCTCATTGCGGTGGCTTCTCTTGTTGCAAAGCATGAGCTCTAGGCGTGCGGGTTTCGGTAGTTGTGGCTCATGGGCTCAGCAGTTGTGGCTCATGGGCTCTAGAGCGCAGGCTTAGTAGTTGTGGAGCACGGGCTTAGCTGCTCCACAGCATGTGGGATCTTCCCAGACCAGAGCTCGAACCCGTGTCCCCTGCATTGGCAGGCGGATTCTTAACCACTGTGCCACCAGGGAAGCCCCTGTGCTATGTATTTTATTTGCAGTGGAAGGATTAAGTCAAATAGCCCAATGCTGATTATAATAAGACATACTTTTCATGACTATAGGAAAAAATATGGTCACACAATTAATACATTTTCCTCTTTTCCTCCAGAAAGAAGAAATCATCAAGCTTATTTTTGAAATATGTGGTAAGATTTGACGACCAAGAAAAAACCCATCACTTTAAAATACCAACCCCACTATGTTCTGTGTTGTCAAGATAATGTGCTCACCCAGAATATGTATACTGTAGAGCTCGTGGGAAAGTTGCAAGCTTATTTTCAGTTTCAGTGGGAAACTGAAAGGAAGCAGTGTGAGGGGATGTGGGAATCCTGATTTAAGAAAAGAAAGTCATTTTCCCAGGGTAGTTAAGAAGTGTGAAGATAGTTGGGTCTTTGGACAGCCAGGCCTTTTGTTAGCACAGAGCTCATTTGTATTCAGTGACATTTACCTGAGCCTGAGAAGGAAAGAACAACAAAGGAAGCAGGACTACAGGGGCCTAACTGGTGTGTGAATCCAGCCTAGCTGGTGACGATAATGTCTGTGTTTTTCCTGAAGCAAAAAGTCTTTCAAAATTGAGTTTTGAGCCCTACGTCTAGAGCGCCTGCCACTTCAGAGGCAAAAGGACAGAGTCCGGAGGTCATCTTGTGTCCCAACTCTATCTAAACGCTTCTATGGTGAAATAGACTTGAAACAGAGTTACCAGAACAAGGAAGTAAAGCAAAAAGACTAGCCAAAAGGCAAGCAATTAGTGGATAATGAAGGTAACTTCTGTGTTTAAAACGGACAGAGGCAGGAATATCATTATCCTTCCATACGGAGAACCCCAGAACTGACTTGTCCCCCAAAAGACTTCCAGACCTTAAGAAGCAGCCTGGGACTCTCTGTGGTGACAGGAAGATTGAGACATTGCTTCTGAGTTCTAGAAGCGCTGTAAAATAGCAGCCAGTTTCCTGATGATTTATCATGGCAGGGCTGCAGGGCAACATGAGGATATGAACACACCAGTGGAACCCTGATAATATTTATTGCCAAGGAACTCTGGCAACTGCTTTGAATGATAAACCCTAAATAGAAGTTGTTTACTGACCAGTGTTCTGAGATCACTTCCCTGAAACAGTTTCACAGTATGGATGGACTCTGGCCTCCTTGATAAGATGGGAGCCGCTTTAGTGGTCACTAAGGGCGTGACTGGGGACATAAACCAGAGTAGCTAGGGGCCACTACTCTTGGGTCCAGTTAAAGACCTGAATCCTTCCCCCACAATTAAAATGTTTCATCCCATTACTTTACCCATTGGCCACGCCAATGAGCAAATATTCATTTTCACATAAGGATACGGTTGAAGACTGAAATATTAGCATCCAGATTCCGATTAAATACAAATGGTCGGATGATAAAGGGAAAATTTAGGATGGTGTTTATCTCTTATGGAGGAGGGAAATGGAATCAGGAAGGCATACACAGGGATACTGAATCTTTTAAAAATACTATTTTAGGGCTTCCCTGGTGGCACAGTGGTCGAGAGTCCGCCTGCCGATGCAGGGGACACGGGTTCGTGCCCCGGTCTGGGAAGATCCCACATGCTGCGGAGCGGCTGGGCCCGGGAGCCATGGCCGCTGAGCCTGCGTGTCCGGAGCCTGTGCTACGCCATGGGAGAGGCCACAGCAGTGAGAGGCCCGAGTACTGCAAAAAAAAAAAAAAAAAAAAAAAAATACTATTTTATTTTTTAATCTTAGAAATTGGCTAGCTGTTTATTGTTTTATCCTCTACAGCGTTTTGGTTTTTTTGTGGGGGAGTTTTGTGTGTGTGGGATATATCACTTTTTTTAAAAGGCAGGTATAGAAACCAGAAGGGAGACAATCGTCAGCTGTGTTCACAGTCACAGAAAAGGAAGGTTACAATCTAGCCTTAGGTTCCTCCTTGCCCCTTCTCCCCCCTCCCCTCACCCATCTGATATCAATCAGTGATGTTTTAATTTTCAACCCCGCTGGGTTTCTATGTTAACATTCATGTTTCAGGTTGTGGGCTCAGAAAGTGTGGGACCGGAGAACTTCCTGATTATCAAAGACTTTGTGAAGACTCTGACTGACAGAGTTGCGCCGGACCTTGCCACGGCCCGCGTAGGCGTAACCAACTATGGCCATAAAGTAGAGGAGGTGGATCATTTGACGCAGTTCTCCAGCAAGGACGACCTCAAGCGGGCCGTGGACAACACGCAGTATCTGGGAGAAGGCACCTACACAGCCACAGCTCCCCATGCCGCCAACCGCATGTTCGAAGCCGCAAGGCTGGGTGCGAAGAAGGTGGCCTTGGTCATCACTGATGAGCAGACAGATATGCGAGATGAAAAGAATCTGACACAGGTGGTGAAGGATGCCAGTGACATCGATGTGGAAATATCTGTGATTGGGGTGGTGAAGAGACATGACCCCAACTTCGAGATGTTCCACAAAGAAATGAATCTAATTGCTACCGACCCAGACAGTGAGCACGTTTAACCTATTTGATGACTTTGTTACCCTTCAAGGTAAAACTCAGCTCCAGGGGAAAGGAATTCACACTCTCCTTCCAAGTACCACATCACAGGATTATCCTGACCAAAACTGAAAATCAAGAGGCCAATGAGGCGTATACTGGCATTAAATGGTAACACAGAAACTCTGGAAGACAAAGACGTTTAGTATTTCATTCAGGGAGTACAATCCCTTGTCTTTACTCATTTGTAGTAAGTGCTGAGTTGGCCCTGGAGTTGTTTAACTCAGGTAGCTGCAATTGAAGGACTAAAAAGAAAGAACAGGATTTGGGGGCATTGCTAAGATTAGTTCATGTTCTAAAAGTTACCTCACTTGGATAAGAGATGGAGCAAGCCAGCAGCAAGACAGAAGATAACCATAGAATCAAAATGAACTAAGAAGTGCAGAATGAGTGGAAAACAGGGATGGTAATCTAAAGAGATGAGAGACACGGTAACTGGGATTATTCTCTTCTATTCTCTATTCTCTGTTCCTATGAAAACAGATGATGAAGAGTAAACAAGTTGACGTCAGGAGTTTATCTTAAAGAACAACATACTGAATATTCCTCATACACTCAGTGCTGATCTGATGGCTTTCCCTATGCTGCTTTACCCTTCATGTGAACTGACATTTCCTGACGAGCCATGCCAAGACACTGACTCACCGTGATTGGGAGTGATTGGCATCACTTTACAATGAAACACTCCAGTTCTTTGGAAACTGATAACACATTCTGGCAGGGCCCACACCCAGAAAGCTTGTGAAATAAGTAAAATGTATACTTAATGTGTTTGCAGGCCTCAGTTTGACCCCATCCTTCCTTCTCCACTCATCTGGGAGCAGGGCCCGACACGGCCTCATGCTGTTCCCAGCCTACCCCAGGTACCAGCACGTCTGGCCCTAAGGAGAGCAGACCACGCTCAGAACCTTCCCACTTTCCCTCTTTCTCCAGACCTTTCTAACCTGGGGTCCCATTTCCTTAACACCCTATTGGGCGACTGGTCTATTCAATCTCACTGGGCTGTTAATTTGTTAGAACGGCCAGCAATACTACACATTTCAGAGACATGTTATATTTTAATCATTGAAGAGCTTTATCATCTTAATCAAAGGAGTTACTAATTTGTTCTAGGCAATGAGGGATATATTTTTGGACTGGCTGGCTTTTTGCAATTCCCAAAACCAGAGGTAATTGCCTGTTAAACTTATTATGGGTTAGACTTGCCCCTTCCACAGAGTAGTTCACAGATAACAGACAGACACTTTGGATAACAAGCATTTAAGTCATTCTTTTGCCTATTTGGGCCATCGAATATTATTAAATTAAATTATTTTAGGTGGCCTCTTACAAATGAGGTAAAAATGCATTAAAACTTCTAGTGGTTGACTTCAAGTGATGGGGAAGTGTCTGTTTACTTTAAGGAGAGGGCAAAAGGTCTCTTTTTTTTTTTTTGCGGTGCGCGGGCCTCTCACTGTTGGGGCCTCTCCCATTGTGGAGCACAGGCTCCGGACGTGCAGGCTCAGCGGCCACGGCTCACAGGCCCAGCCTCTCCGCGGCATGTGGGATCTTCCCGGACCGGGGCACGAACCCGCGTCCCCTGCATCGGCAGGCGGACTCTCAACCACTGCGCCACCAGGGAAGCCCCCAAAAGGTCTCTTTAAACAGATTTTGAGTAATGTTTCATTGCTCCTCCTGTTCCATTTTCTACTTCTCTTTTCAAAGATAGATACCCTTAAGCAAAAATTGTTTAAAAAAAGTTGTGAGGATTTTGAATCCTACCTCTCATATTCTGGGTTCACCACTGCTTCAACCTGGATTTGGGATATCGGGGGAAGAACTCACTGAATCTGCTCCAGAACCCCGGAAAGAAATTTCTGAGTCCGAGAGTAACTGTCTTGCTTAATTTGTGAGCCTAAAATAGTGTATTCAGTCTGTTTTACATCAAAGACAATCTTGCCCCACGCTGTCAAGAATCAACTGAGGTATGGATGTTTTCAGGTCCTTGGCTCTAAATAGCAGGATTTTGTCTCCAGATTTCTAGCTCTGAAATAGCTCTGGGGCTTATGAGCTTGAATATGAGATTTTTTAATATTTCCATATTTTATATTCATTAAATGTTATAAATAATATTTTTATATTACATCCCTGCCACCACCAAAAGTAATCGTGTACATTAGAACAGATTAATACTGTACCATTTGAATCACCCACTTGCCACATTGGCAGATCTTTCTGTATGGGGTCACAATTCTCCCTCATCCATCTGTGTATCCACTCCCCACTTTGCACCCTCTCAAGTTTCTTCCAAGTGCACACAAGCTCAGCCTGCACTCTCCCACCTTCCAATCCACGCTCTTGTTCACTGAGCTTCCCCCGCCTGTGCCCAGAGCGGGGACAGGGAGGGAAACTATGCATGCATATCGCACAAGGTGGGTGCTTCGTTTCAGAGCTCCCCAGTCACCTGTGCGTGAGAGAACTACCTCCTGAAGGTATTGAGACAAATGTGATCGTCCTTCAAGCAAGCTTCTGGGAACTGACTTCAGCCCATCAGGTCACAAGCAACTGTTAGTTTCTTTTAGGTGAAAACTGGAGAGCCTCTCATAGTTACTGGTAAGTGAGTGTTGTAGTCTCTTCCCCACCAAGTTACAACTAAAGCAGCTGTGGACTGAGGTTCACTACATGTATAGACATCGTCTAGCAAGCAGGCACACAGCAGTGTCCCTATTTTGTAAGCTCAGTGAAGTCCCTGCGCTGTCCTTTTATGAAGTCTTCATAGACATGAAAGATTCATTTTGAGCCAGTGCAACAGTATTCAAGCATCAGGATTCAGCTAACTGTAATAGTTGGACTAAGGCCTTGAGAAACCTCCAGATCAGTAGGTGGATGCAGAACCATTCAGGAGTCAGGCCTAGGATGCCATTCCTACGGGGACAAGATTACAGGACTCACAAGATTTTTATATTATGTTCAAAAAGGGACAGAAAGGTCTCTAATATATTTCTATTTGATTAAATACAAACCTACTTCGAGATGGGACATTCCAATTAGGGCAACAGACTGCCCCTGGATTGTAGACTGAAATTCACACACGCATTTATAACACATGGTCTATATCAGGGGGTCAACAAACCCCTTCTGTAAAGGGCCATATAGTAAAGATTTTGGGTTTTGCAGGCCATTTGATCTCTGTTGCCATGACTCAACTCTGCCTTTGAAATGCAAAAGCAGCCATAGCCAGTACTTCAATGAATAAACATGGCTGTGTGCGGATAAAACTTATTTCCTCAAACAGGTGAAGACTCAGATTTGGCCCATGGGGATTTGCCAACTCTGGGTTTTACTGAGCATTTTAAAGTAAATTACAGACAGTAATGTACACAGTCCATCTCCTCCTGCTTGTGTGACTTACCCCTTTGTTCTTCCCTTAGTCAACCCATGTCCCTTTCTAAAAACTTCCTACACAAGAGCCAACTCAGGTTTCATCCAGCAAGTGGTGCCTAAACGGAGTTCTCCTCATAATCAATGAATTCCAGTGGCATGTATTGATCATTTACTGCAGTGCTCAGGGGTGGCTCTTAGGACACAGTTCCTGCCCAGGAGAAGTCCATGGTCTCTCAGTGAACAGATAAGTACAAGAGGTATTAAGAACTTTAGCAGAGCTATGGATGAAGCTCCAAAGACAGTGCAGTTAAGTTCAGGGCAGAGTAATGGAAGGCTTTACAGAGGAGGTGGTGTTGAGCTGAGTTTTAAGACTAAGTAAGTGTTTTTCAAGGCAAGAGTAGGGGGAAGCATATTTCCAAGAAAAGGGAACATGTGGGGGCAAAGGGGAAATCCAAAGGGAATGGCATTTTAAGAAATGAGGACAAGTTCAATCTAACTGGAGCCGAAGGTGTATCTGGCAGAAGGACGAGAGTTAAAACCGGACAAAAAATTTGAGGACTAATTGTAAATGGCTTCATGTGTCAAGCTAAGGAGCTTGAACTTCATCCATAGGCCAGGCAACCAGGAGAAAGCAGGAGAGTCTTAAAAGCAAGGGTTGTATGGTCACATTTGGTTGCACTATGAAAGATAAATAGAAGGAGGTGGGGAGAGGAGACTGGAGGTGGGATAAGAGGAGTAATGGTCCAGGTGAGAGATAATGAGGCCTTAAACTAAGGCAGGGGCCATTGGAATAAAGGGACACATGGACTGGAAAGCCATTTCTGGGGTAGATTGAACAGGATTTAGTGACTGAATGGATTGGAGGTTAGGGAGAGGGTTTGGGGAGGACGGTTGTATCTCTATCTTGGAGATGGGGTGAACTGAAACACCATCCACTGAGATGGAGAAATATAGGAGGCCGGGTAGGGTTCTTTGAAGGAAAATAATGGGCTTATTTTGTAACAAAGCGGAGGTGGCTGAGGGACATCCAAGGCAACGGCACAGAATGAGACAAGAGCCTGTGCCTCTGGTGTCATGACGTAGGAAGTTAGATGCCCTGAGAGAAAAGTGATGTTAACAGGTTATGACAGAGGAAGCATTCTAGTAGCTGGGGAGGGGAGGGCATAAGAAGAGGACATCCAAAATAGTTCAGATTTGTAACACCAATGGTCACAGGGTGGGTATCAGTTGGATCTCCCTAGGGGCCTTCTGACTGAGATGGTGGAAGCTTGTAATGAACTTGAACTTGGAAAGTCCCTCTTGTCTCTACACCTTCTCACCCTGTCTCTCTTTGCACAAGCACCGAAGTAAGAGTGAATTTTTAAAAATGAACGATCCTAATAGATATTTAGCCTGAACAAATATATATGCATTTATATTCACATTTTAGTTAGGTCATATGTATATATAATGTATACACACACATAAATACAAAAACATATGTATGTATCTGTGCATGCACACCCACCTTTATCTAAAAGTATAATTATAGTATCGAAACACCTAAAGTAACATGAATCTGTCAAAACCTTTCAATCCTCAGATTGTTCCCAAGCCTACCCTAGGCAATACTGCAAATAAATAATCTCAGAAGCCCTGTTTCCCTTTTTGCGTCTCTATTTCCTCTCTGTTGTCTCTTCTATGACTCCTTAAGACACCTAGCTCTGTATTCCTTCTTCCTCTCCTTTCTATCAAAATCTGTTTTTAGGGGAAAATCTGATATCAGTTATTACACTTTTGTGAGAAATCTAAGCTAATGGGTTGATTTAAGTCAAGAAGGACTTGCATTTGAACTATTTTATCTAGTTGTGGAATGAACATGATGTACACTACACATCAACAAACAGATATATTGGGAAATGTGGAAAGCAGAAGGATTTCCCAGGTTCCACTAAATTCATAATGCTTTGGCAATCCCAGCTCTGTTGCCTTTTCAGGCCAGTCTTGAGAAGCTAAATGTGTACATCCATTCTATTCTGCCTCTTTCCTGAAATCTCAGGATAGTTTATACTTTCTTCTGGAATTTATCACATTTTAACATTGTTAATACTTATTTTTGTATGTACCTCAACTTTCCTGATGGATTTAAATTCCTTGAGGATATCTGTGTCTAATTAAACTTTGTGTCTCTCAGGACCTAAAACTGTGCTTCGTCTTGCACACAGTAGATGCTCAATAAATACTTATGGCCCAAACCAAGGCTATACCAACTGTTAGAAAAAGAAATCTGAAGATTTCCTTCGGTGAAAGGCATCAACTACACCATCATTAACAAGATTGTATACATAAAAAAATCCTTATCTTTTATGGGACTAACAATGTTGGTACTTGATGTTCCTTTATTCTTTCTGGGTGTGGCCAGTTGGGGAAAGATTTCCCAGATATAAATGGGAAGAGGGCAATTAAATCAAGTAAACATCATTTAATCAGACCAAGTGGCTACATCCAGTAATGGCCCATTAGGCAAATAAGTATATGGATTTCATATATGAAGTCACTTTTTGTCATTCTAAATGTATTCATAATTAATGTCAATGCAAAGAGTATTTATTCACTGAAGTCAGTTTCTTGTAACAGTATTGCAGATTTCTTTCCCCTTTGAAAGAGCAGAAAGGAAAGAAGCCCTGTCTACCCTTTCCATAAAGGTCCTTTTTTGTATTACGAAAAATTGTCCCCAGATTGCAAATTAGATAACTGGCAGCAGAGATTTTTTTCTCTCTGTAGAAAGGAGGCTGTGGGATTCCTATGAGGAGTGATTCCACGGTGAAGGTGACAGCCAAGCTGGTGTGGCAAGAGTCCCTCTGAGTAGCTCCTGCATGAGGTGGAGAGGCATGGTGGAGGCCAAGGGGGAACTCAGAGTGCCCTCCTTCTATTTAATATGGTCCTGATGTATAGTCCAATGCCAGCCTTAAGCCGAGCATGCCGGTTCCTCATTTCTATTGAAGAAATGGATGTTCTGTATAGATGTAAATTACAGAAAACTAACACAGCAGGCTGACTTTGCTGGCTGTCCTGCTCTCTCCTTGTCCATCCTCTCTTTTAGTGAGACCCTATCCCTAGCCCCCATTCCACTGGCCGCATTTCTCCCCTGCTTTCATTATCACACAAGCTGCTCAAAGATCTCCATCTCCATTTTCAGTTTTTCCATCTCTTCCATCTCTTACTCTCAATGCCCCACAACCCTTCTGTGTTCTTACTCCATCTCAAGATCCACCTAAAGAGGGCCACTTCTGAAACCAGGGTTCCACTGGCAATTTCTTCGAGAACCGGAGCCTTAGGCCGGTTCTGCCTTGATAATGGAATTGGATGTGTCCCTTCATCCTCAGACCTGACCATGGGCTCTGTCCTCAACTCTGATGTGACACCTGCTTGTCCCCTACTGTGTTCTGAGGCCATTCCCTTCTGCCTCTTCCAAGACCAGGATCTTCCTTCCCTGTGGTACCCTTTCCTGCCGACACTTCTGACTCTTTCCGTAGAGTCAGGAAATAGGCTTCAGCCTCTCCCATCTCAAAAATTCCCAAACCCTCTCTTAGTTCACATGTCCCTTTTGCTACTGTCCTATCACTATGTTTATATAATAAAGTTATTCCACAGGCCAGTCTCTGCTGTCTCTGCCCCTCACAACCACACATGCACCCTCACTCTCCTTCTCTCCCTCTCCCTGTGGCTCTGTTTCCTCACTTCTGTTCCCCTGGGAAACCCTCTGAAGTCAGGCTGCTGCCTCCAATATGCCCCTGAAGCTCAGCTGGAAAAGTCACCAACAACCCTTTAACTGCCAAATCTTTATTGCCATATTCTTACCTAATCTTTCTTTTGCATGCATCACCATGCCACTGCTTATTTCTGATTTTGCAAAAGTCCTCTCTCTCCTTGTCCCTCTTCTGAGCATTCTTTCTCAATTGCTTTTGGGTTTTTTCTTTCTCTGATTACCCCTTAATATTAAACTCAATTTTTCTGAGATTTGTCCTTAGCCTGCTTCTCTTCTTGTTCCATATTCTCTTTCTGAGTTCCAAAGCCACATGTGCCGACTCTCAAATCTGCCTCCCCAATCCAGACCTTTCTCCTGGGTCCCAGATTCACATTTTGATTGTCTGTGCACATCTTCTTCTGGGTGCCCTGCAGGCATTCAACATGGAATACGTTCACCGTGCTGCTCCTCCAGATTTCCTTCTAGGGGTATGGTCCCTCCAACCAGCCGGGTACCTGGCAAGAAACCTGGGATACACCCATAGCTCTGTTCTCACGGTATCGTCCCCACTTGTTGGTACTATGGTCTTTGGTCTGTTCTTATCATCCCTCGATCTATGCTCTCAATTCCTTTCTCCTCATCAATACCTCTACTGCTTTAGATCAGGGCCTCATCATTTCTTATCAGTATTTAATAATATGGTCTCAAAACTCTTAACCCATCTCTCTTTTCTATATCCTCTTTAGCTTATCCATTATTTGCTGATA